TGCTGTCAACTTCAGCCTGGGTGGTCAAAACTATATCACAGGGCTACGGGGTTCAGAGCCTGCAAATCCTGGATGGGGATTTGCAGGCTCTGAACGGAATTCTCAGAAAATACAAATACAATAGCACCGCTGAGGCAGTGGGGCATTCGTCTGGCTACATATTTAGATCACTGCCTGCTTCCACTATGCCTCCTCTTCCGACCAGGCTTCCACCAAACTTCTGTTGTCATGAAGCATCTGGCCAACCTGGGCTTCATTATAAACACAGAGAACATTCCTTGGACAGTACTCTGGACTCGATCTCATTTGCAGCTCGTTTGTCAGTCATCTTTTGATACACTGTCAAGGTGAGTGAGGTCACATCAAAATTGATCGACTGACCTGGTTTCCAAACTGTGGCACACTGAACCTCAGAGTTTTTTAAGACAGAGTTTTTTGTTTTTTTATTTTCTGCAAGAGTTCTGACCTTGCACCTGAGGAGGTTTTGCCTCACTCAAACCTACAGGCTTCAGGACCCCGTCAGGCTGCAGAGAGACTTGGTTGTGTCATCCAAACAGGTAAAAACAGACTGCAGAACATCTCAGAGAATCAGCCTAATTATCGCACTGATGTGATTCTTTATAAAACTAACACTCTTTGGCTTTGTACCTTCTCAGGTTGGAGGCTGTTACAGTCTTGTAAGCTTCATTCATAATTATGGAAGCACAGAGTCAGGTAAAAAAAAAAAAAGACAGAGAAGGATTTAATAGAACGTGTTACTTTTCATTGTCAAAATCATTGTATGCTTAAATCAGTTGACCTTCAGAAGTTGGATTCATTTGTCCTACTATGATTTCAGGGCACTACAATGGTAATTCTGTCCATCCTGAGGAGAGTCCAGACTCTACAACAGATCACTGGCTCACCTACAAACAGGTGTTCCACGCAACTGGGTCTGTAGTTTGTTTGAAACAACAGTACTTGGCCTAAATCCTGTTTTACAAGAAAAACATAAGAAGACAGAGCATCTCATCCTGAAGTGAGAGAATTTTTAAATGTGCCATCACTTTGTTAATCAGTTTTTTCTTCATCCTCAGTTCTAAAACTGGATGTTGAAGGAAATCATCATGCCGAGAAAGAACAGCAATCGTCCAAGCCCACCATCGCCAACTGGAGGACAAATATTGGTAATTACTGCCCTTAGGAGGAAGGGTCCTCCCAGAGAGCCTGATTGCTCCCAAGATTTCTTCCTCGAAGAAGGAATTTTTTTTCTTGCCACTGTCGCCCCACATTCATCTCATCAACAGAGACATTGTTAAAACTCAGGTACAGTCCATGTCCTGCTGAAGAGACTAGGGGTGCACCGATTTACAGTTCAAAGGGTTTGTGTTACATTGCTACAAAAAGAGAAATTACAACCAACAAAAGACAAAGAGACAGTTCTCCAGCCAAAAACAGGCCATTTCAAAATAAAACTTACATGAATTAGAGCATGAATTTGACTAGGAAATTGGAAATTCTAAATGTAAAACAATGAAAAATATTTATAGCTATATCATTTATGTCTGATTAGTCTACATTCAACTTAAAGTAAAACAGCACGCAGCACATTTACAAAGAACTAGAGAACTTATTGATGAAAGAAATTAGTAATATCTGAATCTGCGCACCACTAGTAGAGATGGTCCTTTTCTGGACCAGTGTACTTTGGTTTGCTCTCTGGGAACATCAAAAAATAAATAAATAAACAATTTATATTTATAATATTTACCATTTTTCTAGCAGAATGTAATGATATGAAGTAGTGTAAGACTTTTGCACAGTACTGTATTTCTAAAGATACTGGTGTGTGGAAGGTATAATAATCAATTGATAATAATCACCAGCTACGACTTATATATTTTTATTAAAAACAAAGTACAGTTTAGACTAATTGGTGATATCATTAATTTTACAGACATTTTATTTATACATGTATCTATATTGCAGAAATGATACATGGGAAAAACTCAAATTTATGCCAGGTTAGTGATTAGAGGGGAAACAGGGAAG